AACAATTAAGATGGCGGCCCTCCTCGCCCGTTTAAAGTTTGAGAGTCGGTCGAGGGAGCTTCTCCCCCGAGCCCGCCAATCATTCGCTTTACCAGACGTAACCACGTATCGAGCACCAGCTATCCTGAGGGAAACTTCGGAGGGAACCAGCTACCAGATGGTTCGATTAGTCTTTCGCCCCTATACCCAAGTCTGACGAACGATTTGCACGTCAGTAGCGCTGCGGGCCTCCACCAGAGTTTCCTCTGGCTTCGCCCTGCTCAGGCATAGTTCACCATCTTTCGGGTCCCAACGCGACTACTCAACGCACCCCGGGCGCCGAGGCCCCCGGGGCGGTCCGTGGTGCGGGCAGCACGAGGCCGCCTTCTCACGGGTCGCTTTCACTGTCGCCATTGTGGTTTCCAACCCATTGGCTCGCAGCCGCGTTGGCCTCCTTGGTCCGTGTTTCAAGACGGGTCGCATCAGCCCGTTTCGCCAGCGCCGACCCGTGAGGGTCATCCTCGGTCTCCGCCGCGGTGGGAGCGAGCTCCTTTTCCCGCGGCATCGACCGGCGCTGCGTACCTCCGGGCCCCGCGCGAACGGGGCCCGCAGGTTTGCTTGGGCTCATGCGCTTATCCTCCTGACGATTTCAAGCACTTTTTACTCTCTTTCCAAAGTTCTTTTCATCTTTCCCTCGCGGTACTTGTTCGCTATCGGAAACCTGGCCGTATTTAGCCTTGGATGGAGCTTACCACCCATGTTGGGGCTGCACTCCCAAGCAACCCGACTCTTCGGATGCGTCTCGTGGAGTGACGGGTCGTCGCCCGACGGGGGTGTCACCCTCTCTGCCGCCACTTTCCAGTGGACTTAAGGCGGCGCCCGTCACAGAGAACGCTTCCTTTTCAGACTACAATTCGGAGGGCCGGGGGCCCTCGGATTTCAAGCCTGGGCTTTTCCTTGGTCGCTCGCCGCTACCAAAGGAATCACGGTTGTTTTCTTTTCCTCCGCTTAGTAATATGCTTAAATTCAGCGGGTGGTCTCGCCTGACTTGAAGCCATCGTTTGGGGTTTGCCCGGTTCCTCCCCGTCCGACCATTTTTGTACGAGCCCCGTCCGCCTCTCGCCCGTTCTTGTGCGCTACTTTGGAGGGGGAGACCGGGGGTTGCCACGCCCCCGGCTCCCGAACCTTTTCGCGACCGTCTCGGGAGAGAAAGAGGGACCGAGTGACCGGCCCCCCCACCTGCTGGGAGGTCCGGACGGAGTCCGTTGGCCGGCTGGGTTCGCCGAGCCCAGCGGGGTCGCCGCCCGCCTCATCTCGCTCGTCCCACTCGCGTCCTCCCGGGTGGCGCCCGGGGATCTGCACTGGGGTCGAGAGGAGCGGAGACGGGCTAATGCGGCCCTGCGATTTCAACCGACTGCCCCCCATTTGTGCCCCGGAGCGCACGGGTTGCGACGGCCATCTCGTTTTCCCAGG